GAGGGGCGGTAAACCCATGTCATTTCTCGCTGTATGCTGCAAGTAGGCCGGGCTCTCCCTTTTATGGCCCTTATGGGAAGGTTCCGAACGACAGGGATTCCTTCTTTTCATAGGCGTCGGATATATAAAAGAGAAGGGATTTCACAATTGAACTAGATATAGATGACGATCAGGTGGGGAATTCTGACATTTAATAGGTATTTAAACTGGTCTTTGATTTAAAGGTATTCCGAACAGACCCACCTTATGACTGTATGGGGAGCAAGGGATGGCGCAGTGGTGAGAGCGCTCAAATCCCGGGGTCGACGCCATATGTGGGTTGAGTTTGTTGTTGGTTCTCTCCTTTGCTCCGAGAGGTTTTTCTCCGGGTACTCCGGTTTTCCCTCTCCTCAAAAACCAACATTTCCAAATTCCAGTTCGATCAGGAATCAGGTAGACGACGAACCACTTTGTGGATGTACTACCTCCAAATCATCATCATCATCATCATCATTATTATTATTATTATTATTATTATTATTATTATTGTTGTTGTTGTTGTTATTATTGTATCGTTAACAATTTATCATAAGCGACATGAAATGTTTGTCCTTTATATCGTTTAACGGTCTTTTTGTTCTTAGTTTTAGTTTGAGTTTTTGTTTGTTTATGTTTTAGACTGCGTGTCACTCTTCGCCGTGCCGTAATGGTGGAACATGTGTACCAAACTACAAATATCACACCTTTGACTGCGCTTGTAAAGACGGTTACGTCGGAGACTTATGCGAAGTATTTGGTAAGTTTCCCATAAAAGGTTGTCAAAGGACAGACTTGCACCTTACAATAAAAAGGTTAAAGGCATGTTTATAGTGGAAGGTGCACTTAGCTAGTCAGCTAATTTACAGGCACTACACTCAAATATTTAGAAACAAATAATTCAAATACAACATAACAGGATTAAAAACCCCAACTGGCAGAAGGCAACCAGTTGGCTATTTACAAGCGTGGCCGAGAATTTGAACTCGGGACGACCGAGCACAAATCCAGCAAGTGGCCAGAGCGGGACTCGAACCCGGGACCGCCGGATTGCGAGTCCGACGCGCTGACCACTCGGCCACGCTGCCTCCCCCTACAATAGTAATAATGTAATGAAACTTGACAATGATGTAGATGCATTCGAACCTAGCTCCATGTAAGAGCGACCAATCGTCCTCCCACGGGCGATCACCTATCTAGAACACCAACTTTTCTCAGTTAAATCCTTTAGCTTGGAACCTTTTGTAAACGAGCACCTCTCATAAGCGCCTACGACAATTATTTCGGGTGACGTTTTGTAATTTTTCATTGTTTTTAACTTCTAATAAGCAACCAATTTGACGTCATGGTCCGATCTCTTTGTTCGCTGCATGTACCATTTGTACTAAGCCACTCAAAGTATACAAAACCCTTTTAACAACGACATGGAACTACCACTCAGTCGTAACTAAGAAAGTGCATGCAATAAACTCCCACCAAAAAGCAGATGAGTCCTGACCTTTTCCAAGAAACCATGTTCTCGTGCCTCTTCTCAGTAGAGTCCCCTGCGGTTTGATTCTTGTAAGCGACCGCCTGCCGTAAGCAACCATATAATCTTCCCTGGTATTTTGGGTGTTCGCTTACAGAACGTTTGATTTGGATTTATTTCTAACGCTGCATTTATAAAATCCTGAAGGGGTAAAAGCGGCTTAGCAAGCAGTCAAATAGTTAAGATATTAAAGTAAAATATATAAAATATCTCAATCAGTTAGTTCGGCGCCTAGAAGTAAGCCCAAGAGTAAACATATACTATTGTAGTGACTTTAAATCGATTTGATATCCTTTTTCCTTTAGCTCCGAAATCATGCAAGCAAGTGTATGATCATTATGCAGACAAGTGAGTGAAATTGTCATTTTTTTTTTTTTTAATTTTTTTGCCATTTTGGCATGTATTGTCAGTGCCGGATCCAGAACTTGAGATAGGGTGGGGGGGGGGGGGGGCGGGCGGTCATCCAGACCCTTACATAAGTGGGGGAGCTGTCTCCAAAAAATTTTGTTTCGGCCGCTCGGGCCTCAGTTTAGTCTAAAAATAAGGGGGGGCCAGGCCCCCCGGGCCCCTCCCCTGGATCCACCACTGTATTAGTTTGTAACAAGAGAGAATAATGAACAGTCTTGGGTGCACGAAGTACGTTTTCTGTGAGATTTAACTCTTGTTTGAATTCAATATTTTAATCCTGGGTCATTTAGATCACTTGGTTTTCATTATATACTGTCTTAAACAATAATTATTTACCGAAGTTCCCAGCTTGGCTTTTGTGCAGGTCCCAACGAAGCCAGCTGGTTAAACTCTTTTTTAACTCAACACCAACTTCCGTTCTCTGTCAAATTGGTGACTTTGGATGTGGACCAGGGGGTTGGACGCCGGTCATGAAGATAAACGGCAGAGAGGTATGAAATTTGTGGGTGAGATTTTTATCCAAATTTTTCCAAGTTCCAGTTGGACCCGGAATGGTAGACGAAAAACCATTACGTGAATCACAATGCTTTGTTAACAGTAACCGGTCAAGTCGCGCGAATGTTATCTCGCCAGAAGTTATGTCGCCCGAAACCCTTAGACACGCTGAGAGTAAGTCGCCCGACTGAAATGCGTGAAGTGAACAGAGAAACAACATACCATCAACTGACGTGATACAACTCACTTTGACTCTGAAGATGACTACTGCACAGGTTGTCGAAACGTCAGTCACTGTCAACAACAACAGTCCTATTCAGGACTACGTTCACCCGGACGATCAAACTCAACCTTTTGAAAGCTAATTTTTGTTAGATAAAGAGTGTGTGTTAATATATCTCGTTCTTTAAACCAGCATGAGACGAAATAAGCGGAATGAATGGGTAACATGACTCGTTCTTTAAGCGACGATGAGGCGAAACAAGTTAACCCTGGATTAACAACGAAACAAGCGCCATAAATGAGTAATATATCTCGTTCTATAATCTTCGATCAGAAGAAACAAACGCGGCAAATGGTAACAGGGATTCTAGCATATTGTTTAGCATGATGATAAAATTTTGAGCCACATGACTCAGCATTTCGGGCTGGACTTAACTTCGGGCGACTTGACCGTAAACCTAGCGTGTGAAATTGGAGAGTGTTGGATCAGGCTTGAAAATTTACATCAAGCAAAAGCAACATTATTTTGTAGAATTTCTGTCATTTCGCTGCTTTCTCTCCTTTTCGCTTTAAAACAAAAAAAACGCTCTTTTTTAATAATTCTTTTTGTTACAAACTGCTGTCGGGGTGGAAAGGTTGTCCTGGGAACAAGGTTGACTTCCGTTCTTTGAGACTGTCTAATAACTAACAAGTTCGACAGATACTTATTTTAATTAACGCGAAGCCAGGAGTTACAATGAATAGCTATTGTTGCGTCATACAGTGTTATAGCTTAATTTTAGTTTTTCCTATTTCTGTTCATTTTCATGCTATTTTAGAGAACATTTCACTACGATTCAGTGCTCTGGACAAACAAACAATCCTTTAACATTGACGGAGGGAAGACTGGGTTTGACGCAGAGGAGACCAAATTGCCTTCCTACTGGAACACATCCTTCTCTAAAATCTGTCTCGGTATTAACATTACCGGTAACATCAACTTTGCTGTCATCGACAGGCAAGCGCACTCTTTGCATTCCCTGATTGCTGATGGGCAAAAGCGTAACACCTCGCTAGGACGTGACGCGTGGAAGGCGCTGATTGGTTCACGGGGCTCCTTACAGACGTACTGCAACGTTGAAGGATTCAATGTTGAAGGGGAATTCATGGGAAGCGACAATGACAGCCGAAGAGCACGGGCAAGAATTGGCATCATTAGTAACGATTTTGACAACTGCATTACTTGTGATTCCAGAATCGGGTTTGGCACAGGTGGACGTCCCGGTGACAACAATGTTTGTGGCAATGCGGCTCACAGGAATTGGAAACCAGACAACGGCGGCAATAATATAAAGGGAATAGGTTATATCTTGGTGCAGTGAAACAAAAATTATCGCACTTTAAGAGGCCAAGTTCAATTACAGTAACAGCAACAATTCAGATTTAATCCACTTCGTTAAAATAGTTATTGCGACCTGAATAGCAATCGTGTCAAAAATAAAATGCTCGAAATTTTACTATTGCAACACCAAAACTGTTCGATTACCAGGAGTTTGTAATCAGACAGATCAAATCTGACAGTTAAAAAGCCAACGACAATCAAGTAGGAAAATATTACAAGCCAATAGTTTTTAACCACATAGCAGCTGACTGCAGCTGCAGCTTGGAAGAGAATGGACGAAATTGTCTGATCCAATGACTGTCATTCAGATACAATTTTTTAAAAATTCGAGAGCCTGATTTAGAAAGCTTTGAAAACGTAGAAAACGGTAAAGTTCCTCAAGTGTACGCTATTTTTGCTTTGAGCCTAGCTGCAAGCTGATGCAATAAAAACTTTGTACTTACATTAATAAGATCTAATAAATATTCCAAAACTAAGATTCTTGAATTTTGTTATTGACACGATTAATTAGTAATAGGACTTCGTGTCGTATAATTCAGGTCATTCAGGGATAATCGGTCTTGTAATTTCAAATCAGCCTCGTGTTGATTTGAAATTTGAAATTTTATTTGAAATTTTATTTTACTCGTGACCAGTAAAAAGATAGTAGACTAATAAGCAGTATCATACCCTAATTTCATTGTTTTCCTTTGTTTAGTTGTAGCCGCTCTTTGGCACTAATGATGAGTAAAATCACCCTTTTTTTAGTATATTAATGGGGTATTTCAGGATCTTCACTTATGTTTGTTCTTTGCAAACATCAAGTTCTAGCGAATTTAAGATTTGATTTTCAAGGCACATTTTAATTAAACCCAGTCTAAACACAAGAAAAAGTCCAAGAATACTGCTTTAAAATTACTCTGCAATTTATGATATATATGATGCATTGAGACTAGTTATGCACATAAAGAAAGCTCTACAGAGCGGTTTATTGAGGTGCTTGCCATTCTACATATGAAATGATAGCGTTCGGCCTACAACAGTCAGGGAAGGTACTGTAGCCACAACTTGTTTTCGTAGAGGACCATTCAAGATAAGAGGTATCCCAGAGTCTAACCACAAATTGATTTTAGAGCTGCAAAGTTATAATGGAAACCTCTTTCAGTTAAGATCAAGGTAGAACTTACAGAGTACTACTATTTCCAAAAATCAAAAGGAGAATTGATCTGCAAGTCTGTGGTCCATAGTCTCAGACGTCTAGTGAATTGGCAGAGAAGGCCTAGAAAACGCTGAACAGGGACTAGGCAAGGGAGCAGCAACGCCGACAGCGACGGCCGCGAAAACGTCACCAATAAAAGGACAACTTACTCGCGGTTTAAAATATCAATTAAACTGATTTACGTTTTCGTTGCCGTTGCCGTCGCCGTCGCCGTCGTCGTTGCTAAAGCTCTTTATTTTATGTAGTTGTGACAATTCAGTGTTGAATAAAAGTATCTCTATGTCTGTATATCATTCCGTCTGTTTGTTCTGATAGACGTTTGTTGCTAGCCTGCGAAGAAGATGCATGGAAGTTATAAGGGTGCAGGAGTTCAAGGGGGGCGCGAGGGAAACACGATTCGTTTTTTCGCCCATATGAACTTCTTGCGCCTGCTAGAATGTCTGCACGTAGCTATTGCTGCCGACCCATCCTCGGAGACCGAGGAAAGGTTAATCTATCTCAGTCTATCTATTTCGGGCGCACCCGCACCGATTTGATAAGTCTGTTCCATCTCCGTCTGTTGGTCATGACATGCAGATTCAAGATCCTGCCTCGTAAGACCCCTGTCACTATCTAATTGGTCAATGAATGTTGTTGTTGGGTGCTTCCCCCGTTCCCCCCTCCTCCCCCCCCCCTCCCCCCGCCGCCTTACGGCGTCTGCCGTCTTTTGGTTCCCAAAGAAGTAGTTAGCAAACAGTCTCGTTCGTGCTTCTCCAACAGTGGCCACTAAAATGCAGCCGACGTACCTCGAGATTTGTTGAAACTGAGACTCCTTGTTAGATATATGGTCTTTCCAGCTTACGTTTAGAGCAGCACGTAGAAGCCTTGTGTAGCAGCCATCAAGTTGTTTTTCCACTGCAGTGGTCAATGTCGAACTCTTTGACAAGAATAATAGACAAGATTCAACTGAAGCTATTAAGAAACGTATCCTGATATCTCCGCTGAGGATGAATTTCACACCACTGTTAGTTTGTTGCTAGCGGACCATGCTTTAGCTTCACGGATCTCGAGGTCTTTTTTCGTTTGATCTATCCAAGAGCCTACGTACTTGTCTTAGCTTTCTGAAGTGTCTAGATCCGTCTAGGGTACAGAAAGGTCGCCCTGACGTCGATCGGAGGTTATATGCCACGTATTCGGTCTTGGTGCTGTCTATGTGAAGACCAACTTCGATCTGTGGCAGCAGTTTCAACTCGCTCTAGCAATGATTGAGCTTTATCCACAATGTAAATCAGAAAGATCTGTTTTAGCCCTAAAAATGGGGCCGTTTCGGTGAGTAAAATACATTCCTATTTTTTAGTCTTATTTGGCTCCCCTAAATCAGGGCCAATACAATCCAATTAGCTAGGGCTGATTTGGTCCCAAGGGCTGAAATTGGCCTCAGCGTGGGCTGGAATAGCCTTTTGATTGAGCTTTTTTGGCCTAAATTGTGCTCAAATGGCTTCAGGAGGGGCTGAATCAGACTTTAACCTGCAGAGCTGAATTGACACTTTATGGCTGAAACAGATCTTTTAAATTTTCACTGCAAGTTATCTGAAATCAATACAATATCGTAGGCAAAGTCAGTGTCAGTGCAGGAAAGCGACGGCTACTTTTACTTAAAGGCGTTTAAGTGAGGCCTTTTCTTTTAATAGCGGAGCTCTCGCGCGCGAGGGGCGCGTAGCAGAGCGCCATGGGTAAGAAAATGTGGTAAACTACTCATCCGAGAAAATTTGGTAATCACGTGACCGTACACCGACCGCCCGACCGTCCGTCCGCACCACGGGCGGAAATGTAAAATAGCTCAATCAACTGTGACAGGTGTGGCAACCCAAATGCAACTCGAGGTTAGTTTGACTGGAAATCGCACAGCCACCCTCTTCTTGTAAGGCAGAGACAACTAAAGAGTCATTAAGTCACATGTTAAAAGTCACACCATTGGCTGTCATGTAGGTATTTACTGCACAAGGTATATTGTACCTTAAAATGTTGTTATCTACCACCTTTTTGAAAGTGTCTTGTTCCCAAAGATGGTGATATGCTACAGTAACCCTCACCTTAACCCAGTCGCTCCTGAGCCGCCCATAACCGCCCATGCAGATCCACGTTCCTTTTACCGCTTGTGACGTCATCAGTTTTACTGGTCAAGGACAACAGTATTTTTACTTTGTCCGCTAGCGTGTGCAGAGTGAAGAGCTCTTTCAAACCGTACCAGAATGAGCTCAATTCAATCAAGGACACTGGAGAAAAAGGAAAAAAAACATGTAACATTGACCTGAAAATTGCCATGTCAATGAAAATCATGTTCCACTACCCGCCTACCTTTCCTTTCATCTCACTCTAAGATCCTAAAAGCTTTCTTTAAAACTTTTCCCACCAAAATGAAGCCTACTCAATGCCCAGGAAGAAAAATTGAGGCAAGAAAAGTGAAAAAGAGGGAGGAGAGAAAGCGAAACGTAATAGTTAAGACTGCTGTGTCACTTTTAAACCCAAAAACTATTTCAAAAGTTTGCTTTCTGTGTATGCCGGAACTTCGCAAGCTAATATTTTGCATCTGGATCAGAAGTCTGAGAAGGGTAAGACCTGTAAATGGCTTAAGAGTTAGCCTTTATAGCACGACAGTGACCAGAAAACTGCTCGACTAGCTTCAAACCGCGTTCTTTGGCAAAATCTGCAAGGGGCGAATGGTTAAAACACTTTTACTTTGAATTATGACCACCACTCACTTCAAATATTTGAAAAACTCTTTCACTGGTTGGGGATTGATTGGCTTTTCAGTAACTTTGTAGGGGGTTGAAGTTGGTTGTTAAAAATTCCCAAATAAGCTTTCTTAGAGCTGGTTTTCATTGGCTAGAGCTGAAGTCATACGCGAGCCGTAAAAGTGCTCATAACTTAGCCAGCAAACACAGACGTATTTCCGGTCGTTGATTTTCTCCACGTGTGCGAACCCAAGCAGCCGAACAATTTGTGAGGTAGAACCTTTTGTTTGGTTGTTGTACTTTTCAAGTGTAGAGAAGCAATGACCAGAAATACATCTGCATTTGTAGGCTACTTATAACTTAGTGAAAACACTGAAAATCGGAGTTGTAAGTGGGGTCATAAGCACAATGGAATTGGAGTCAGAGAGATGCGAGCACTTCCATTTTGTTCTGACTCTAGTGAAAACCAGATTACAATAGTCAGAAGTAGGAGGGGAAGGACAGACCAAGTACAATGTTCATTCCTACACTTTGTGATTGGTTTAGTTCTTCTGCTTCTACTTGTGACTCCAATAACTTAGTGTCTACTTGATGGTAAAGGAAAGAAGTCGTAAATAGGTGGTTTTCATGCAATCTCGGAAGACACAAATAACAATAGTGAAATGAACAAATGCTGGTTGACAAACAAAACGAGCTGATGAGCGATCTTTTGTTTACCGTCCACCATCATGGCGGCAATGACGTAACGTGAGAACCACCTACAGGATCATAACCCTGTTGTTGCAAGATGATAATTCTCTAGGCTTGTGATAAATTGACGACTCCAAAGTCCTCCGTAAGCCAAAGGCTAGTAGTGCAATTTGCTCAACTACATAGGAAACAAATTAAGAAATTTTTCATTAAGTGACATTTTGGCTACCCTGAGGGATGAAGTTAAAAATTAGTTTTCCTGAAATTTACTAATTAGATTTATCAAAGAGTATTCCCTTGCTTACAAACTCCCAAGATTATCGTCTTGAAAACAGTGTACACATTGGCCACCTTTAATAAGAATAAAAAGGAAAACAGGTCTACAGTGTACTGCTTTACACGTGTAACTCCTGCCTTCTTACTTAGGCTAGCTGCTCCCCTCTCAGATGAACAGAAGTTTGAAGTGGAAGTTGAGCAGAAGCTTTTGAATGAGTGGACTGATATAAAAAGAAAAACATACAGAGCAAACCAGGAACTGGTAAGAGAAGATGGAATTGATGCTTTTGTGTATGATGGAGTTTTGTAAGGTGGTTCTAACTTTTGAGTCTGTGAAATCCTGAGACCATTCAAATAATTCCTCTTCAACAATACTTTCACATAGTACTATTTATTTATTATGTAGTTCTAACTTTTGAGTCCGCGGAGAAATCTTATGGTATGACCATTCAAATAATGTATAGATTTAGCCAGGGCTAAAAGTCAAGCTCTCGATAATATTTATAGTTTGTTCAAACAAAATATAAAATCGTGTAATGCTAAGCGGCGAAGGCAACTTCAGAGAACGGTGAAAAATAAAAATAGGTCTAATTAGCAAACAAAACAACTTTGCACGTGCAGCACACTTTTTTGTACATTTCCTTGCCGTTGTTTTGCACGACTACAACGCAGACCTTCCAGAAACTTTTTTATGGAGGAAATGTCGTACGTGTTCTCGTTCACTTTTTTTTACTGCCGCTCATTTTCTTTTTTTTTTTTTTTTTTTTTTTTTTTTTTTTATTTATTTTTTTTGCCTTACAGACATATATTAAATGTTTACAGTACTAAACACTACTGAAACTAAATACTACTAACAATATTCACTATACTTGCACTATTTACAATATTGGCTATACTGACAATACCATCCATACGATGCTCGTACTACTAATAATTACAATGGTTACACTACTTACAATTCTAGTACTTCACACACACACACACCCCCACATAAACACGCACAAAAAAAAAAAAAAAAAAAAAAAAAAAAAAAGGTCAGAGGAGTTACTTTTCATGTCTATTTTATAGCTTTTCAATTCTGTATTTAATTATCATTTTACCAACGAAGTCTTGGAGGAGAATTGGTTTGTTGTGTAGTTTGTTGGCGTAGATGTAGTATCTCATAAACAACATGGTATAATTGAATTTCCTTACTAGTACCTTTTCATGTAAGTCCGAGAGGATGCCGAACAGTCTTTCTTCGCTAGATGGGTTGAGATTGATCTTGTTTTCTATATTGAACCAGTTGATAACCCGTTGAATGAAAATCTTGACGAAATGACAATCTCTAAAAGTATGATTAATAGAGTCTTTTTCACCACAATATATACATTCATCGTCTTCCTTGATTCCATAGCGGTAAAGTTCCTTTTTGGTGACTACAATTCGGTGGATTAATTTATATTGAAATTCCTTTAATTTGGTCTCTCTACAGACGGTTTTTAGGGAGGTGAATATTTTTTCCCATTTATCTTCATCCAAGGAAAGATCTTTGCTCCATCTCTGTGGCCCAGAATGACCTGTTGTGAGGATTTTTGTGCATAATAACGTATAGAAGTCGCTAGTCTTGATTTTGTTCAGATATAGAGTTATCGATTCATTTAATTGTAGACTAAGATTATTATCAGAATATAACTCTTTATTAATTGGCTTCGTTGATTTTGCTTTGGCTAATAAGTGCTTTGGGATAGCGCTAATAACTTGATAGTATTGAAGGAAGTTAGTTTTACAGGAATACTTATTCGTAAATTCCTGATAGGTCATCGGTTGACCGGTATTGTTTAAGAGATCTTGTATTGACAGGATACCTTTTTTAAACCATTCCCTGATAAAAAAGGTTTTACTGTCAACAAGTATTTCTTTGTTGTTGAATAGAATTATATTTTGTGCTTGATCAAAGCTGTACAGAGTTTTTAATTCACTGAAGTATACTAGAATATTTCGGTAAAACAATGGAATAGATTTTATGTATTTCGCATCATAGTTACATCTCAGTAAAAAGTTCAAACCTCCGAATTTTCTTAGGTAATAATCAGGAACTGTTTTCCAATTCTGGTTCCCTGGAGTCAGTAATCTTGGAATCCAGGCTAGTTTTGGAGCTTTAAACATTATGTCGATGTCTACCATACGTATTCCGCCTCTTCCCAGATCCTGATAGAGCCCAGTTCGTTTAATTTTATCCCTTTTGTTTTTCCATAAGAAACTAAAAAACTTTGTTTTCACTGTGCTTGCGATATCTTCGGGAACATTAAGAATTGAAGCTGAATAAATTAATTGTGACAATCCTAGGGACTTAATTATCAGTACCTTCCCAAATAGTGTGAGGTCTCTAGATCTCCACATATCCAGCTTTGTTTGAAGTTTTCGTATTTTCAGATTAAAGTTCAATTCATTGTTACCCTTCTCATCATAAGAGACATGAATTCCTAAGAGGCGAGTCGGACTATGTAACCATTTTAGTTGTAAAGGATAACTTTTGTTTTTTTCCCATTTTCCCAACCAAATTGCTTTCGATTTCTTTATGTTTAACTTGAGACCCGCTAGCCTCCCAAAATCTCCCACCGTTTTCAAAGCATTTTCAACGGAGATCAAATCTGCACAGAAAAGGTTTGTGTCGTCTGCGAATTGGCTCAATTTGATTTCGTGCCCGAATATTTTGATTCCTGTTATACTTGGTTCTTGTCTGATTTTGCTGGATAATATCTCCGTGGAAAGCACAAATAAGTACGGAGAAAGGGGACACCCCTGTCGCACTCCTCTTGACGGTCTAAACCAGTTGGTCATGAAACCATTGTTTATCGCCGCGCTCTCAATTTTTGTACAGAATGTACTGATCCATCTTTTTATACTTGTTCCGAAATTGAATATATCCAGTGCTTTCATCATGAACGACTATTCTAGAGAATCAAAAGCTTTCCGAAAATCTAGAGATACTAGAATGCCAGGTATGCTTTCTGCCTTCGTATGTTCCATTATGTCGATTATTAGCCTAATATTTTCCCCGATATATCTTCCTTTGATAAAACCGGTTTGATCAGTGTGCACTAGATTTGGTAATAATGGTTCTATTCTCCTTGCTATTGCCTTAGTTGCTATCTTGCAATCAACATTTAGCAGTGTTACCGGTCTCCAGTTTGAAAGTTCTAGTAGCGAGCCATCTTCTTTGGGAATTAAAGTAATAACGCCTCTTCGTTGTGAAATGGTGAGTTCATTTGCATCATAGGCCGCATTGAAACTAGCAACAAGATCGTGTCCTAGCAGATCGAAAAAAAACATATAAAATTCAACCGTGAAACCATCTTCTCCTGGAGCTTTGTTGTTTTGAAAAGTGTCTAAAGCTTTTTTGCATTCTTCATAAGATAATGGACCTTCTATTCTATCTCTGTCTGCATCTGATAGTTTTGGAATTTTTAAATGTTCGGTGAATTCATCAACATTATTTTCCTGTGAATTATTTGCTGATGCGTACAATTCGCTATAATAGTTTTCGATAGCTTCTAATATCTGAGACTCGTTGTTTGTTACTGTTTCACTTTCTGTTCGCAGTTCAGTGATGGTTTTCCTGTTGTAGTTTCTTTTCTCCAGATTGAAAAAGTACTTTGTTGGACGTTCGCCCTTTTCGACCCATCGACATTTCGATCTAAAAATAGCTGCCCTCCCTTTCTCCTCATAAATAGATTGGAGTTCCATTTTAAGATCTTCATATTCATTTAGGATGTGCGCGATATTGGGAGAGTTAAAGTTGTCGCAAATATTGCGGTCCAGAATTTCGAGCTGTCTCCTAATTTCCAATTCTCTATTAGTGGTCGCTTTAGCTTTCTTTTTACTATAAGCAATGGTTGCCGCTCTGGTTTCCATTTTTAACATTTCCCAAAGAAGGCGTGCGTCTGTCAAATTGGAGTAAAAAGCGCGTGTGCGGGAGTACGTTTCACGGATTTTGGACACATAATGTTCATCTTTCAGTAACGTGTTGTTGAATTTCCAAAGTCCGGGTCCTCTAGACTTTTCAGTTGTCCAAGACAGAGAAATGTAAATTGCTCGGTGATCCGGTGCTATAGAAGGATAAATTTCGCTTTTCTTCACATGTTGTGTCAGATTTTTGGCAACTAGGAAAAAGTCTATTCTGGATTTCAGTTTTAACACTTTTGATTCATAAGAGATCGAAAGCGTCCATAGTTGTCAAAATCAGGTTTCGATAATTTGTTGGTTTCCAAATTGTGCCACCAATTTTATCTATCTTTGATAGTGTGCAATTCCAGTCGCCTCCTACAATAAGCGTGGAAATTTCTGACTTGTCGATAAGGCAATTGTTTAAGTTTTGTAAGAAATCTAATTGTTCACTTTGGCTATTCGGGGCATAAATATTCACCAGTGATAATTTTAGAGAATTCAGAACACAAGTAATTAGCACGATTCTTCCAGCCTTGTCGCTGAATGAGTAATCGATCTTATTTTGTACCGTAGGGTGTAAAAGAATGCAAACACCTTTACTATGCCTGGATCCGTGAGAGAAAAATATTTCACCTCCCCATTCGTTTTTCCAAATAATTTCATCTTCTGGTTGAGAGTAAGTTTCTTGCAAGAAATAAATTTTTGAGTTATTGTCTTTGAGATATAGAAAAATGCTCCTCCGTTTGGCTTGATCTCTTATTCCCCTTACGTTTAGAGAAAGTATATCGTATTTTGCTTTCTCTTGCATTACAATAAAAAACAAAAACAAAAAACAAAAAAACAAGACGAATATATATGCAAATTTAAAAAAAAAAAATACAGAAGCAAACAAAACTAAAATTATACAAAACGTAAATTAAAGTAGTTTTTGAGCGTTTCCCTTCTTCTTCTCCGAACTTTGCGTTTTTTGTTCCTGTCCCAAATGTAAGTTACAGTTTTTGTCTTCCTTGGCCGATTGGACATTTAAAGATAATCTAAGTCTTCCAGCTCGTTAATTCTGACCGGCTTACCCTGCGGAGAGGTCTTGACATATATTGATCCATCCATTGACCAGACACTCATTTTCACCTTGCATGGGTGGCCGCGGGCATTTCTCATTTCATTTTTTGTTACCGGCGCTACAAAATTTTCAAATTGTTCTTCCAACAAAAAATGTCTCTTGTGTTTTTTTATCTCTTGCTCTAGATCTCTGTCGCGCTTTTTGGCGTTGAGTTTCGCTAGCCTTCCGCCTACTCTCTCTTTTTCTCTGTCTTTCTCTTTCTCTGTATTCCAAATTTGTGGGAATGACAATTAGTCTAAGCTTAATACTTTAGATAACACGGATACAGAAACAATTTCCGCTTTCCGTGTCGTCTTTATTGACTCTTTAGCTGCCGCTGTTTTACAAGACGCGGGTGGCTATGCGATTTCCCGCCAAAATAACCTTGAGTTGCATTTGGGTTGCCATACCTGTTGGTTGAGTTATTTTACATTGGTATGCCTCTGGTGCGGACGGACGGTCTCTCGGGCGGTCGGTGTACGGTCACGTGATTACCAAATATTCTCGGATGGGTAGATTACCACATTTTCTTACCCATGGTGTTCCGCTAAGCGCGCTTCGCGCGTGAGAGCTCCGCTATAACCTCCTTGATTGTGCTTCACAAGGTGCTTTTTGTTTTCAAGCATCTTGCAGAAAAGTTTTGTCAAATTTTTACTAAGCAAGGAGCGATGGGGCAGGGGTAATAGTGGTGATAGAAGCATGGAGAAATTTCCTAAACCAAGAAAACAAATCTTAAAACAACAGTGACTTTCCCAAAACAGGAAATCATCTTTAATGTGATCTAAGAGAAAAATTCTCAGTTTAAGTTTCTTTAGAGTTTTCACTGAATTGCGGCAAAAAAGCAGCATAAAGAATTATTGAGTTACTCTTGATTGAGAAGTTGACGTGTCTTTTTTTTTCTTATGTTTCTAGGAAAGACTGCGATATTATCAGAAAACTCGCGGTATCAGTTCTTCTCCCAAGACTAACAGAGATGCGAACAACGCCAGAGACCCCCAGAAAACAGCACCAGCAAGAAGTGGGCTTCATGAGAACAGCACGTGATCAACCAACTGTGGACTCATGCTTGTCAATCAAATACTCAGGTGATCACGTGTGACGCCTGACAGCAAACAAGCAATAAGAAACCGCGGGAAAATGGCGATTGAATCAACTGCGTCTTAACTCTTTCTCCCGTTTGCTGGGAAACGAACAAACTCTGCTTTCAGATAAGTAAACAACGGGTTTGAAAAGACAGAAGCAACAAATACTTGGTAAAAGGTCAATTGTGTAAGCATGTTTTGGATGGCTCTGTTACACCGCTAGTCGGTGTGAGTTAAAGCCTGTGGAAGGATGTGAATTATGCTCATTTTTGAGCAGTTACAGACAACTTCGTCAGCAGATGGTAGCTTTGGGCGCCTCTGCTTTGGGTTTGAAACAGTTGTTAAAACATTTAAGCATCCAGTGAATTATCTTAATAAATGGAAACTATCACATAAAGCATCGACTCTCGAAAAGAAACATTAATTGCCGAAATTCAGCGGTCAAAGGAGGAGGAAATTCCATAAATTAAGAAACATTCTTTAAATTGTATCCCCGTGACGGGGGTGGCACTCCCTTATTTCTCCTAAAATAAGTCCCACCTCCCCACCCCCGTTAGATCAGTGCCCAGTTGCATCACGTAACACCTTGCTTCTGTGGCTCATTCCAGTCAAACTCTTCAACGTTTTTTATGTAAATGACAGACCCTAGTAATTATTAACTAGAAATACGTGTATCGCAGAACCTCGAGATTCTCGGGGGAGGGTGGTAAGGTTATTAATAATTGGGAAATGTGCCAGAGTAATTTTGGGAAATGCAGGGTAATTTCTTTACCGTAGATGAACTCGTTTGCAGCTACTTCAACAGACAAAAATACAGTATATTTTATTCAGCTGCTTCTATACACACCTTTGATCGTGCTTTCTCTTCTTCGCGTGCGAATTTAAACGCCGCGAAAATAAACAAAAAACCGTTGCGGGGGTGTTTGTGGTCGACCCATTACAGCGTCCAAACGTACCTCCCACTCTCAGATATGACGCCCTGCTCCGTAATTAACGACTTCGTGAGAATCCACTGCAGTCTATTAACGTCTGAGGCTTTTATCGCTTTAATTTGTGGTATTTCGCTGAGGTGGCCTGCGTTGTAGCCATCCTCGGAGACCCAGGGGCAGATAAAGGGGGCGAGGGAAAGTCTAAACGGGCGGAAAAATATGGCACGAAGGAAATTAAGTAAAGAACGGCGAGAAGAGCCCCTGGGGACAATGTCTTACCAGACCAGTTCCAGCTCTTCTCGCCGTTCTTTACTTTTCTTCGTGTCATATTTTTCCGCCCGTTTAGACTTTCCCTCGTCCCCACTATCTGCCCCTGGGTCTCCGAGGATGCGTTGTAGCAGGATTGGATAAAAGAATCTCGATATTTATCGGGGGATATCTAGACTGTTTGCGAAGGGAAAGATGAATAAAGTAGTCATTATTTTTTTTAGCGAGTTTCTTTTTTCTTAACACTGTCCACGCCCGAGCAAGTGCTGACAGTTCTGCAGTTTCAGTTTTTAAAAGCATTTTAAAAACGTTTATCATAGTAAATAGACATAATATTGGTATTTGAAGATCAAAATGACGCCATTAGCTTGGAATTAGTTTGCTTAGCTTTTGCATTTATATTTCTTGACCTTGCTACCAGCGTGAGAATCTTGGCCATACATCAATTTCTCTCCCTCCATTTAAAAGAAAATTAGTTTTACCTATAGCTTTTATGTAAATGAAGTTTCAAACGTCATGTTTTTATACCCCAGAAAGACGTTTTTTCGCTCTAGAATATCGTAAAACACGTTTTCCTGGCCTATAGTGCCTAAAAAAAGAAGATAGAAATATGGCCATTTTTGGACCGAAACCATGGGTTAATTTTGGAAAAATCTGAATGTTTCGACCTTTTTAACTTCTTCTTATTGCCTAGAAAAGCGTTTTTTTGTTCTAGAATATCGTAAAACACATTTTCCTAGACTATGTTGCCTAAAAAAAAGACATGGAATAATGGCCATTTTTGGACCAAAACCGTAAGTTAACCCCTTTGGAAAAATCTCAAAATTTGGACTTTTTGAACTTCTTGTTTTTCTAGACTAGAAAAGCGTTTTTTTCCCTTTAGAATATCGTAAAACACATTTTCCTGGCCTATTTGTACTAAAAAAAAAAAGATGGAAAAATGGCCACTTTTGGACCAAAACAATGGGTTAACCCCTTTGGAAAAATCTTAATTTTTCGACTTTTTGAACTTGTTGTTTTTCTAGACTAGAAAGGCGTTTTTTTTCCTTTTAGAATATCGTAAAACACATTTTCCTGGCCTATTTGGACTAAAAAATAAAGATGGAAAAATGGCCATTTTTGGACCAAAACCATGGGTTAACCCCTTTGGAAAAATCTCAATTTTTCGACTTTTTTAACTTCTTGTTTTTATAGCCTAAAAAAGCGTTTTTTTGTTCTATAATATCTCAAAACACATTTTCTTGGCCTATGTGTACTAAAAAAAAGATGGAAAAATGGCCACTTTTGGACTAAAACCATGGGTTAACCCCTTTGGGAAAATCTTAATTTTTCGACTTTTTGAACTTCTTGTTTTTATAGCCTAGAAAGGCGTTTTTTTTTCCTGTTAGAATATCGTAAAACACGTTTTCCTGGCCTCTTTGGACTAAAAAATAAAGATGGAAAAATGGCCATTTTTGGACCAAATCCATGGGTTAATCTCAATTTTTCGACTTTTTGAACGTCATGTTTTTATACCCTTGAAAGGCGTTTTTTCGTTCTAGAATATCGCAAAACAGATTTTCCTGGCCTATATTGCCTAAAAAAAACGATGGAAAAATGGCCATTTTCGGACCAAAACCATGGGTTTACCCCTTTGGAAAAATCTCAGTTTTTTCGAATTTTTGAATTTTTTTGTTTTTAAAGCCTAGAAAGGCGTTTTTTCGTTCTAGAATATCGTAACACACATTTTCCTGGCCTATATTGCTTAAAAAAAAAAAGTTGGAAGAAAGACCATTTTTGGACGAAAACCATGGGTTAACCCCTTTGGAAAAATCCTAATTTTTTTACTTTATGAACTTGTTGTTTTTATAGCCTAGAGAGGCGTTTTTCGTGCTAGAATATCGTAAAACACATTTCCTAGTCTATATTGCGTTTGAAAAAAAACATGGAAAAATGGCCATTTTTGGAGCAAAACGATGGGTTAACTCCATCGGAAAATTTTCAATTTTTCGACTTTTTAAACATCTTTATTTTATATCCTAGAAAGGCGTTTTTTTCTTCTAGAATATCGTAAAACACATTTTCCTGGCCTATATTGCCTAAAAAAACAAGATGGAAAAATGGCCATTTTTGGACCAAAACCATGGGTTAACGCCTTTGGAAAAATCTCAATTTTTCGACTTTTTTAACTTCTTGTTTTTATAGTCTAGAAAGGCGTTTTTTTTGTTCTAGAATATCGTAAAACACATTAACCTGGCCTATATTGCCTAAAAAAAGCAGATGGAAAAATGGCCATTTTTGGACCAAAACTATGGGTTTACCCCTTTGGAAAAATCTGAATTTTTTTGTCTTTTTGGACGTCATGTTTTTATACCCTAGAAAGACGTTTTTTCGTTCTAGAATATCGTAAAACACATTTTCCTGGCCTATATTGCCTAAAAAAAATGAGATAGAAATATGGCCATTTTTGGACCGAAAACATGGGTTAACTCCTTCACAAAAATGTCAATTTTTCGACTTTTTGAGCTTCTTGTTTTTATAGCCTAGAAAGGCGTTTTTTTGTTCTAGAATATCGTAAAACACATTTTTCTAGACTATGTTGCCTAAAAAAAAAGATGGAAAAATGGCCACTTTTGGACCAAAACCATGGGTTAACTCCTTTGGAAAAATCTCAATTTTTCGACTTTTTGAACTTGTTGTTTTTCTAGACTAGAAAGGCGTTTTTTCCTTTTAGAATATCGTAAAACACATTTTCCTGGCCTATTTGGACTAAAAAATAAAGACGGAAAAATGGCCATTTTTGGACCAAAACCATGGGTTAATCCCGTTAGAGAAATCTCAATTTTTCGAATTTTTGAACGTCATGTTTTTATACCCTTGAAAGGCGTTTTTTCTTCTAGAATATCGTAAAACAGATTTTCCTGGCATATATTGCCTACAAAAAAAAAAGATGGAAGAAAGGCCATTTTTGGACGAAAACCATGGGTTAACCCCTTTGGAAAAATCTTAATTTTTTGACTTTTTTAAATTCTTGTTTTATAGTCTAGAAAGGCGTTTTTTCGTTCTAGAATATTGTAAAACACATTTTTCTGGTCTTTATTGTATTAAAAAAAAATCATGGAAAAATGGCCATTTTTGGACCAAAACCGTGGTTTACCCCTTTCGAAAAATCTCAATTTTTCGACCTTTTTGAAAATCTTGTTTTAATAGCCGAGAAAGGCTTTTTTTCTTTTTAGAATACTCTTAAACACGTTTGCCTTGTCTTTTTTGCCTATAGTAAAAATATGGAAAAATTGCCAATTTTTAACCAAAGCCATGGATCAACCCCTTTGGAAAAATTCCAAAGTTTCCACTTTTTTAACTTGTTGTCTTTATAGTCTGGAAAGGCTTTTTTCTTCGTAGAATACATTCAAACACATTTTGATTAGCTATTTTGCCTATATTAAAAATATGGAAAAATTGCCAATTTTTGACCAAAGCCATGGACTAACCCCTTTAGAAAAATCCGATTTTTTCGACTTTTTAACTTGTTGTTTTTATAGTCTGTAAAGGGCTGTAAGGGTGTAAGGGCTGTAAGGACGTAAGCGCAGTAAGGGTTTAAGGGTTGTAAGGGCTGTAAGGGTTGTGAGGGTGTAAGGGAGTAATCATGGGTTAAACCCTTTTAAAAATAATCAAAAATGCGATTATCTGAAGTCCAAATTTTTCAAGGCTAGAAACGATTTTTTTCTATCTAAATGATCGCCAATGATTATTTCGAGGTCATTTTTGCTCAGAGACAGATACTGAA